TAATATGTGTTTGACAGCTTTAGAGAGACTTCTTGGGCCATTGTCAAAACTAACATTGTAGGAAGAACTGAAATGATTGACACTGCCAAAAGAACAAAGAAAACCAGGGGATCCTATGGGATATTTTATCCAATTTATGGAAAAGCTTCTCAAGAGAGTAGATCCTTCTAGGGTGTGATGCAATGGAGCCCTCAGAAAGGATCTCAACCTGATAAAATCTTTTTATCTACCTTATTTCTCTGATTCTTAGAGACATTTTTTCACATTTCTAACACTTGTATTTCCCTCCAGTCAGACTTCGACTTGCCTGGACCTACCTCACTCTGTACTGCAGCTTATGGGTTACATTTTCCTAGGTTATGTTCAGGGCATGAGGATCCACTGTAGTCACTTGAACTGACCCAGAGCTTTCCCAAATTTCCTTCATCAGTGAGTTGATAAATCCTCTCTTAGGTGGGCTCACCTCTGCAGATAGCTGAGCTCTACCATTTTCTTCACATCTTTACTAATATTCCTTTTAAAGGGTGATGATCTAAACTTAGCTTCGAATAGAGGAAACCCTTGACTACAGCGTTCAAGGACATTGGGCAGTAAGAGATCCAAATTCCGAATCCAGGTCATGCCACCCCAAATTCCCTATCCTGTCTGTCACCTTGGTTTTCAGCTTTGGCCAGGTGACAAACACCTATTGATGGACTTTCACAGAATGGATATGTTGTTTCATTGCAGCAAAATTTAAGGAATGAAAATGACCTGATCTCAGGAGTTTTTCCATAAAGGATTTAGTAGCATAATGTTGTCCCGGCTGAGGGCCTTGCTATTTTCCTTTCCCAACCCTTTATTTAAGAACCTTGGTTATGGATGAAGCATGACATAAAACAAGTTTACATAACAGAGCCTGTGCCACATAATCATACACTACAGCTGGTGATAAAAGAAAAATGAGTATGTCACATATGATGACTCTCTAGAAAGAATTTAAATTACAAACCTAAACTGAAACCTCCTGGCTTTTATTAGACTATAGAACTGATAATATCCAACTGGAATATATAAATTACTATGTTTAGAGCCAGCACTTGACTCGTAATCAAATCTTCATGCTATTTAATCTAAGATGTTATCACTTTTAATAATCAGTAGGTGATATTTTCATATAAATATTTATACATGTGTGTTTCAGAGAAACATTTTAATTTTTAAAATTGTGCCACAAGTCCTATTAACTGAACAAGTGAAAAGTTACTTTAGCATATGAAATGTCCAACTTTAGAAAAATTGAAAACTTAAAGCTATGTTTTCCTCAGTGGTGGTTTAGGAAAAAGGAACAGACTCTTTTGAAAACCTGGTCGGTGTTTGTCTTGCTTTATAGATTACTCCCAACAGCCCCTTGAGAAAGGTTCATTATCTAGTTTTTACTTCTGAGAAAACAGAGGCTCAGAAATGTTAAATAACTTGCCCAACGTACTAAAGCAAGTAAAGCTATGTTTTCCTCAGTGGTGGTTTAGGAAAAAGGAACAGACTCTTTTGAAAACCTGGTTGGTGTTTGTCTTGCTTTATAGATTACTCCCAACTGCCCCTTGAGAAAGGTTCATTATCTAGTTTTTACTTCTGAGAAAACAGAGGCTCAGAAATGTTAAATAACTTGCCCAACGTACTAAAGCAAGTAAACTTCAAAGCCAGTATTTTTTTAAACTGTTTACTCCAGAACTCATGAGCTTTCTCCACTAAAAACCATCAATGAATTCAACATGATAAAAGAGGCCCGGATGTAATATGACCAATGCTGTGACAGTGCCAATCCCAGTTATAACTATAATCCCGGTTACAGATGAATTTGATCTGAAATAAACAATTTTATAAATCAGAACACCTGAGAAGTAAAATATAGGTAACTGATAAGAGGAGAGGTATTATGTAATTAATAGTTTCGAAAACAATCATCATCATAACTTGGTTTCCTAGGCACTGAAATCTGAAACTCGTTGATATGCTATAGCAAGGTTTCAAACAAAGATGTTTTGTTCCGTTCATGTTTTTGTAGGATGGTGTAACTATGCAGTCCTGCTCAGTCAACAAACACTGTACAGAGCTGACCAATGACTCATGAAATTTACTGTGAGATCTCTCTCCTCAGTTTCAAAATATTCATTTATAATTGCATTAGCAAAATAGCCCATGGCTTGTCACATTCTTTTCACTATCTTGGCCCAGTTCTAAATGCATCAGGTTTTTAATTTTAACTCGGAATTTTAATCCTTATTTTAAAAAAATTTATATGCATCGTGGTAAAAAAAATCACTTAAAATCATCATCGGATGAGTGGATACGGAAAATGTGGTATATCTACACAATGGAATACTACTCAGCTATAAAAACGAATGAAATACTACCATTTGCAACAACATGGATGGACCTTGAAAGAATAATATTAAGTGAAACGAGTCAGGCAGAGAAAAAGAAATACCACATGTTCTCACTTATTTGTGGGAGCTAAAAATAAATAAATTAATTCACTCACATACATACACACACACACACACACACACACACACACAAACCGGGGGA